TCAGAAGAGGACATGGAATGAGGGATATCATTGCTGATGTCAGATGGATCTTGGCTGAAAGCAGAGAATACCAAAAAGATGTTTACCTGTCTTTTATTGACTATGCCAAAGGCGTTTGACTGTGTGGATCGTAACAAATCATAGATAACATTGTGAAGAAGGGGAATTTCAGAATACTTAATTGTGCTCATGCAGAACCTGTACATAGAACAAGAGGGAGTTATTTGAACAGAACAAGGGGATACTGCGTGATTTAAAATCAGGAAAGGTGTGTGTCAGGGTTGTATCTTTTCAGTATACTTATTCAATCTGTATGCTGAGCAAATAATCCAGCAGCTAGACTACATGAAAAAGAACACAGCATCAGGATTGAAGGAAGATTCATTAATAGCTTGCGATATGCAGATGATACAACCTTGCTTGCTGAAAGTGAAGAGTACTTGAAGCACTTAGTGATGAAGTTCAAAGACTACAGCCTTCAGTATGGATTACAGCTCAACATAAAGAAAACAAAAATCCTCACAACTGGACCAATAAGCAACATCATGATAAATGGAGAAAAGACTGAAGTTGTCAAGGATTTTATTTTACTTGGATTCACAATCAACACCTATGGAAATAGCAGTCAAGAAACCCAAGGACATACTGTATTGGGTAAGCTGCTGTAAAAGACCTCTTTAAGATACATGGAAACAATTAGTCCAAGGGACTGGTAGATCCTCAGCCTTTATGATCATGAGACCAGAAGAACTAGATGGTACCCTGCTACAAGTGTCAACCACTTGGAGGGCGACTTGGGTAGGAGATCCTAGATAAAGTGAGAGAACAATGTGGAACAAAACTCAAAATTACTAAAAAAGAAAATCCCCAAACATGGCTTGCTGGTCTGATAGAGCCTGGTGAAACCCCTGAGACTATGGCTCCTAGCTGCCCTTCAGGTCTGGAACTGAACTCACTCCTGTGACTTCCAGCCAAACAGAAGACTGGCATATGGGCCGAACATTTACATCAGGTAGATGTGCTCCTTGGAGAGGTCAGTCATGGGAGAACAGAAGGGCAGTGTGTGCACAGGGAGACTGCTCAGGGGGTGGGACAGGAGTGTATGGGAGGGAAGGACACAGGGAAGAGGTAACTATGGGGAGGAAGTGGGAAGAGAACTATTACATTGTGGGATATTGCAGTCAATGTTATGAGACAAAATGTGTATAAACTGCTGTATGGAAAATGAAATTGATCTGTAAACTTTCACCGAATAACAATGAAAATTAAAAAAAAAAAAAAAAAAAAAAGACCTCTTTAAAATGTTCAGAAACAAAGAAGTCACTTTGAGGACTAAGGTGCACCTGACCCAAGTATGGTATTTTCTGTCCCCTCAAATGTACGTGAAAGCTGGACAATGAAGGAGACCGAAGAATTGATGCCTTTGAATTATGGTGTTGGTGAAGAATGTTGAATATGCCATGGACTGCTAGAAGAACAGACAAATCTGTCTTGGAAGGAGTATAGTCAGAGTGCTCCATAGAAGGGAGAATAGCAAGACTTGGTCTCACATGCTTTGGACATTTTCTAGGAGGGACCAGTCCCTAGAGAAGGACACGATGTTTGGTAAAGTAGTAGTCAGTGAGAAAGAGGCTGATCCTCAGAGAGATGGGCTGACACAGTGTTTGTAACCGCCGTGGGCTCAGGCACAGTAATGATTGTGAAGATGGTGCGGGACTAGGCAGTGGTTTGTCCTGTTGCGCACGGGGTCACTATGAGTCGAGACTGACTTGATGGCACCTGACAACAAGAAGAAGGTTGGATCAGCAGTGGCAATTTTTTCGTAAGGCTTCCTTGCTTTAGTTGATTTATACACATACTCTTAAGTTGCAGCCACAGGTGAAGGCTCAAATTAAAAAAGAAAAAAAAATTGAGTAGCTCCTATATTCCAACTCTGTTGGATAAGTGGTTAAGGCATTTGGCTGCATTTGGTTACGAAAGGTTTGAACCCACCAGCTATTCTGTGGAAGAAAGATGATTCAGTCTGCTCCCTTAAAGATTTATAGCCTTGTAAACCCAAGGGGAGTCGCTATGAACTGGAATCAACTCAATGACAGTGAGTTTGGTTTCAGTTTATATCTCAACTCTGGACACTTTGTTATTCTTATAAAATCATCATCCTAGTGTCACTACGTTGTTCCAGGTCCCAGAGCTGTGGAGTTGGTCTTGGTCTTTCTTGTATTTATGACCTTCACCCCATGTATTTTTTGGCAGGCCTGTGTGTCACATACTGTCCCCTCAGCCTCTGAAATCCACCTGTGGGAGATGAGCTCAAGAGGACTTTCTTACGTTTTAAAGACTGCTGTTGTTGTTGTTGTTATGTGCCATCGAGTCGGAACCAACTCATAGCAACCCCTCCTTGGGTTGCCGAGGCAGTATCACTATGGAAGTAGATTGCCCAACCTTCCTTCTGAGGAGTGGCTGGTGGATTTGAACCGCCAGCCTTCTGGTTAGCAGTCAAGTCCCTTAGGCACTATGCTACCAGAGCTCCTTATACAGACACCTATTGTGTACTAAGAGTGACAGAAATAACAGGCAACCAATCCTAACAGC